ACATTCGAATGAGATAAAAATGACCAATATATGTGTCACAAATGAGATAAAAATGATGTATTTATGATCATTGAAAACGAGCATTTATCGACTATCCAATTAATGATCTAAAAATGGCTCATTAATGGCTCATTAAAGAACACTCACATGATCCAGATATTATACAAGTGAGCATCCCTTATCATTCATGAAGACATCGACTCTCATGTTTTATTCGTTTTTTAGAAATCTATCAAAAATACTCTATCACAATTTCGTCATACACATCACGATCAATGGCATGAACATCGTGAAAAATTTACAGAAGATCAACTTGCCACCATAGCGGATGTATTGATATCTCCGCATAGAGAAAAATGTTTCTCCGATTTTGACAATGAAAAAATCGGTCACTGATAAAAGACTTTATTTAACTTATTTATAAATAGATATTTTATATATTTATCAGTTTTTTTTTATTGTTATTCTTTTGTTTCTTCGTTAGAATCATAAGAGTTCGTATACTCTTGTCGTTTATTTATTTTTCTTGCAAGTGTACAATTTTTTTCGTTATTATCAGACAAATAGTTTTCTTACGGTTTGTTCAATCAGTTGCTACAACAAAGTACGAGATGAAATTATACCAAAATTAAATCCAGGTACCTATAACTGTTTGCAATCAATACGTGCATGCGACAGCTACGTCCACACGCAACACAGTGATCGTTTTTTGAGGATGTACCATATTGCATGTGTAGTGTTTGTCGAGTTTCACTATCTCATTTTTCCACTAAAGGAAAATTTTTATATGTTCAATAGTAAAAATTACTCAGCTCTATTCAATTAATTAGAATGTTCAACAGTCAAAGAGATAAACAAATGGTCAGTATTTGAACCAATATATGTGTTGATCGAAAAAGTAATTGAGATTGAAAAAGGTTTGCCTCTTTGATAGATTTTCTTCTAGCTCTCATAGTTATTTTCTTTCTTTAAATACATAGATCTTGTCGGACCACCAAATTTGAATCGACAAACGAATATCGAGTTGTTTTTTGAGTGGTTACATAAACATAATGTTGATACGAGTAAATTTGAACTTTGTTCATTTGACAATTATGGACTGGGACCAAAAGCTACGCAGGAATTGGAAGTACGTAATGGTCTTATTCTTCTTGCTCATGACACGTGTAAACAAACCACTTTCTAGACTGACGAATGTTTTGCAATAATACCGAATGAAATAATCATCACTAGTGGAACTGTTATGGCTTCTCCATTAGGTACGTTCATATGGTACTGGACAATCTTCGGTATATAGCACAAAAAATACGTTTGCGATTCAGAGATTCTATCAAAAAAGATGAGCTCATGCTCAGTTTTAACATTTAGATTATTTTATGATACATGCAAATAATATTCTTTCGTCATATGACGCAAGTAGCACATAAGAATCCGAGAATATAAGATGAATTTGTGTCTAATCCCGAGTAAAATATTCTTCCATTGCTTACATCAAATTTTATTCTGCTAGTCATGTTTTTTAGGACAATTGATTAGGAAGAATCCGTTATTGAATTCAATGCCAAACGTATCCATGGCTCTATATTTACTCTATGAACGTTTTAATTCAACAAATTCAAACTGGAAATCATATATTGATATCCTTTTACTTTGAATTTATTATATCATTTCTTCTGTTCTATCCTCCTTAACTCTATTTCACATTGCTTACCAGATGAATTTTCAACTCCATTCTATTTCACAAATCAAGACTTATTAAAACTCAAATGTTCAACAGCATTATGTAGGTTAAAGGACCATGTGGAATATCGCATATCAAAATAATAAGATTATCCTTTAATGTTTAGGTGACATCTTGACTCACATTCATCGTATAGCGTATGTAATACAGTTACATTTGTGCTCTACTCAAAGTAAATGGCATACAATCAGTCACATCTATTCATTTATGTTGTTGTTGTTTCTTGTTATTTTATAGAATTATACGTATTTATCGAAACTTCGTGAATATTTTTCATACGATATGTACAGGTAGTAGAACAGATGCCTAATCTTAATAATTGATTATTCACCATGAACTTGTTTCAGATGGGCTGTTAGCGTCGCATCAACGAGACAAAATTATACACTCGATGATAATTGTCAGTTATTGTTGTCCATGATACCTGTTATGGACATGAGCAATCATCAAAATGGCACAACATGTGTTCATTACAATACAAAATTGAAACAAATTGACTGCAATACAATGAATGATACTAGAAATAATGAACAAATATTTATGTTTTATGGAAAACGAACAAATCTAGAATATCTTATACATAATGGATTTGTACCGAATGAAAATAATCCATATGACACTTATATTTTAAAACTTGGTATGTCTTCTCTCTTTTGAACAATGGTTACAGAATAGAATCTGATGTAGAGCATAAGAATGTAACGCTAACGTATTCTAAGTACAATTTAATTCAAATGTCTACGCTAATAATATATTTGTTGATCGTTGTCGTTTCCATTTTCAGAAATTGCTGGTGCTATCTGCTACTTTTGATCTATAAAGATATTGACGATTTTTAAAAGTAGGGTATGGTCTTTTCATTCTTCCTGTTCTATTAGTATTATTTAGAAAAAAATTATAACAAAACCTAAAAACTAACGACGGAACCTTCTCAGGTATAACCCTCCTTTTCCAATCCAACCCACATGGATCGATTGCCTACTTAGTGGTAGTACAAAGCGTAAGAGGTTTTAATCAGAAAGCTCTTCCTTCAAAAATTCGAGTCGTTTTTCTGGACAACTACTTTTTCAGAAACTCTAAAAGAATAACTAAAACCTGTTGAAACCAAATTAACGGATATCCCAGGTGAAATTGCATAAAATCTTGGTGTATTCTTCTCTCATTTCCTATTTATAAAAATAATTCCTTTATATACCAAACGATAGACAATTTAATTCTCTACAAGATTGTATATTTATTTTTAACATTCATCTTTGATGTTTGGCATAGTAACTCTAACAAGAAAAGCTCCAAATTTTTTAACTGCACTACGCAGTTTTAAAGTGTAAACTATTTTCTTCTTTTAATTGTTTATAATGAGTACAAGAAAAATTGAAATAATTTTACTACTGTCAAGTGGTAAAGAATTTCATGATTAACAAAAGAGTTTACTTCAATTACTAGTGGCTTTGATACATAAACTTCCAAATCCACCGAAGTTTCTAACGCTAAAAAAAGTTTTTTGACTATTTCGGTATAAAATCCAAAGTTCAAATCATTAATTTATAGACCAAAAAATGCAGAATTTTGCGCTCTGTTAGACTGTGTAACTTCTACAGGCACACGCCTCCTCGTCTTCTGTTATCATTTGCATCGGCTTATATTTATTTTCTTACTTTCAGCTTTGATCAATTTCGTTGAGCCTATATTCATGTTCTTCAACTTTGCAACGGCAGAGCAGAGAAGATAAAAATGTAAATAACTAAAATCTTTGACTTGTTAGGATTTAATTTATTGTCTACTGAACAAAAACAACAAGATTGTGATTTAATGCTGAAGAAGAAACGCAACTGTAATACTATAGTATTTGACCTATCTTCTTTGAGCACACATTTTTCTCTACTCGCAACTTAATAAACGTAGTTCAAACGCAGAAGCTGGAGGTGGTATGGGAAGTAGTTCACGGTTTAGCGAGTATTTTTCGAATATATATATATGTGTTTCAAAGGTCAGGCTTTGCTTTTTTTCTAGAGAAGCGACGCGCAACATTTTTACATATAATAACAGAAAATACAATCTCCTTTGCAGAATAAACGACCAATTTCTCTGATAATTTCTCATGTTTATTCAGAATTATGATCAACTTTTGATCACTTAAAATAAAAAAAAACGCTATCACAACGGAAAATTACAAAGTTTTATTACCTTTTGAAACCGCGTTGTATGTCTATAGGTTCAATTGGATAA